CTGACGTGGCTCTCCCCGCGCTGCGCATGCGCGCGCGGCCCTTCCGGAGCGGAGCAGGATGGTGCTGCTGGAGAGCGAGCAGGTACGGCGCCGCGGCCCGCCGGGAATGGGCCCTGCCCCGTGTGCTGCCGCGGAGAGAGCGAGGGAAAGAAAGACAGAGGGAGGGCCCGCAAAGCCCTGCGGCGACGCTGGCTCCGGCGGTGGAGGAGCCACTGGGGGGGAGGGGAGCGGTCCGGTCCCCGGGGACTGTCTCAGCGAGGCAAAAGCGCCGCGGCCTCGGGATGTGCGGGGACTCAAGAGCTCGTGTTCGGAGACAGAACCGCGGGCCGGGCCGCCCCCGGCTGGGACTTCGTGTCCTGCAGCTTGAGCGTGGGGAAAGCCGAGAGTTGGTCTTCCCTCGGTGCTGCCTCCCGCGGGGGGCAGAGAGCCCGGGCCGGCGCGGCGAGAAGAGCTCGGAGCTCGTGTGGGGGCCCCCAGCCACGGGCGCGTCTCTTTCTCTTGCAGTTCTTGACGGAGCTCACCAGGCTCTTCCAAAAGTGCAGGACTTCCGGGAGCGTTTTCATAACGCTGAAGAAATGTAAGTTTGGAGTCTGTTACTGGATTAAAGAGGTGTTCCTATAAATCTGACTGCTGTCGTCAGGTATTTTAAGCAATACAGTTGTAATCTAGGGTATCTGGAGACAAGAGCGGCCATAGGGACAAACCCGTCAGCTGGAGCACTGATGTATTAGCCCTACATTTATTAGTGTATTTACTAGTACTATTAGTATTAATAACCTTTGAGTAAAACTGTATTTCGAACTGCAGGAAATACTGGGACTTTCTGATTGTCAAACAGTAAGTGAAAATCATTAGTTTTCTGTAAAATGAGAGTTTTGATGTTGTTTTTGCGTGTTCATGTTCTCTGGTTCCTGGCTAGCTGGCACTACTAGAGAAGCAATATATCGAGGCAGGAGGCAGCAGGCTGACGAGCATTTAAAGCATCAGCAGGTGGGGCATACAGCACCTTGAGGGAGGATTTACTTCTATTTCTTCTGGCAGATGCAGTTTACAGAACAGATCCTTCTGGGGTTCTGGAGTAAGAGCAATTTGGCAGCAGTGTTAGTTCAGCTGGCCTGAAATTCCCGGTGCTTTACAGATCTGCTCATGAGCAGTTCTTAACCTCTCACATCAGAAGGCATCTGTAGATTTTAATGAAATAAGAATAAAAATTCTTTTTCAATACAGATGATGGCCGAACAAAACCAGTTCCACGCAAAGGCCATGTAGAAAGTTTTGAACCAGCAGACAATAAGTGTCTCCTAAGAGCAACTGATGGAAAGAAGAAAATTAGCACAGTGGTAAGTGACAAATTTTAGGTTAGAAAGATTAGTGCCTCTGTGTGTTTTTGATTTAATGCTCCGTATTTTAAGTGAAACTTGAGAAAATGTTAACTGAAAGTTGAAAACCTAGTGTGTATTTACTTTGAATGGGGGATTGGAAAAGGCTTCAGCTGACTTTATCTCTGCTCTGTGATATGACACAAGGAAGAATGTTACTTGGAGAAAGAGCTGCTGATTTGAGCTGCAGCAATTTATGTGCCCCACAAGTGAATCAAACTTTGAATGCTTTTTCACATTCTTCCCATT